ATGGAGGATGCTGGTTTCAGTGAGGAAGGCGGTAAGTCATGTTCAACTTGATTCGCTCACTATGGGGGAATTTGATGGACTGCGCTAGTTTCACATTTCTTCTAAGGTGAGTTAATCTACGACTAGAAAGGTGCGCATTTTGTCATTACTATGTGTATTTGTGAGTACAGTGCAAAACATTGTTGGAATATATGTTTGCTTAACTCAGCTGAGCTCGGGAGTTTTCTCATTATATCATGATCAGTGTGGGGGGATATGCACATGGTCAACCACATGTGTTGGTGACAATATGAAAATTCTGAGAAAATTTGAAAATTTTCGTTAGTTTCTGTGCACTCCTACTGGAGCTCTTGAACTCAGCTGAGGAAAGCAAGCATATAATTCAACACTGATCATGATAATGATTGCACCAGGGTTGGAGTAGACGTGTACAAAAACGAATAATAATTTCTCATTGTCACATCTTCATACACTACCTCCGCTATTATTATTAGTATTACTTGGCGACCAGCAACCTAGAAGCAGCCGATGCAGTGGTGAAAGCTCTAGCAGAGTGTAGGGGAAGGAGTGATATCAGCAATGTGAGATGCGGTTACCTTGCCTCTAGGGTAGCGTACCACTCGAGTGTGGGCAACCGTCATGAATTCACATATGAGTACACTTAGTAATCTTATACTATATCAAAATGTATGAACTGCTGTGTCGAAGGTTAACTGGTTCGAAAGTTCAGCATAGTGAGGCAGATGGTTTCTATTGACGTAGAAGTACCATTCTTCCGCGAAATCGTCGATTCGACTTCTCATGTTTTATTGGAGTTTCACGACCCGTTTTACAACATTTTCTCGTTTTGGACTATCAAAATCGATCCCGCTGTGTACGAAGTGAAATTTCGCATTATAGTGATTTTATTCCACTACTTCGTATCAATTGACATGGATGGAAATTGATGTTATAATTCACTTCATGCAGATGCTCCAATCGTCGTCTTCCCAGAAGTCTGCTGATGGGTCTATGAACACCTTTGAAGACTCTATGGACGACCTTAGCTCGATACCGATGCAGAGACGAACGTCGGTTTTACACACATGGTCAATTAAATGTGTTGGTGACAGTAGGGAATTTTGGAGAAAATTCTTATTGGTTTCTATACACTTCTCTCTCCGTGAGTAGACTTGTATAATTAGTGAGGAAACTTCTGAGCGAAACGGAAATATTTTGCTTCTTCGCGCTGTGTAGCAGCGTTATGGGCTTCTAGTAGTGCGTCTTTGGGAGTGGGTTCATTGGAGTTTCAGTGTTTTACGTGAAGTGGCGTAATACTCCACGTGAAAAACGCGATATGGAGTGAATTGAAAATACTTGGCGAACTACACTGGACAAACTACCCGATATCAGCTCGTGTGTTTTATGCGTTATTCACTGCATGTTTTTCGCCGATTAAAATGTGAAATATATTTTTACTAGTGTTTTTTATATCAGGGGTGAAACTCCATCATTGAGTCCCTCAGGTTCAGCGAGCAGCCTATAGTGGTTCTGAGTGCCAACGAAGTGGTTTCTTCCGATGAGGTCATCCACGAAGACCAGATAGCCTTCAGGGCACCCCGAGCCAGTGCGGCGCGGGATAAACGCATTCCTGATGTAAGTGGGGTTATATGAGAAACACGTATGAGGAAACATGTTGTGATAGTAGCAGAAGTCATCTTATGGTATTTTTCGATAACACTCTTTGGGAAGTGAATTGGTAGTCACCACCACACAGTAGAACTCAACGGCTATTCAGCGTTTATGCTCTAATATGGTTGAATATCTCGCAGAGGGTCCAATTTCAGTGCACTAGTCATCGAATAAGTCGGACATCGATCTCTGTAGATTATAAACAAGGATAGATATTAATTGTAATGATATTATTATTTTGGAGTTTCACCCATTTTACGTGAAGTCGTGTGAAACTCGGCGAAAGACGCGATATTCGTGGTGGTATGCAGTAGTCGTGAAATGTGCTTTCCATATCACTATGGTGGTGAAACTCCATTATTAAATTAATATCTATTAGGTTTGTGATGGGGTCGACTACGGGATCAGGTTGAGAATCCTTTTTTTATATGTTCACGTGCAGGTGCGAGTTGAGATCCTCAGCGGCTCTGTTGTTGGTGAAGATTCTAATAGTATTCGAAGTCGACAAGACCGGATGGTCTTCGCAACGAACCTCCCATTTGGGGTCACTCGAGAGGATTTAGCGCACGCCCTGGGCAATGTAGGTCCTCTTTGATTTGCATTTGATGAGAGTTCTCATTGAATTCAGATTGGCCGCATTGTTGACGTGGAGATATTCAACGGCAGGGCCTCGAGCGCGGATTCGATTTCTGATAGTTCGCAAAGTTTTGCGGCTCACGAATCGCGTATAACAGCATTGATCGAATTTGAAACGGAAAAGGTGGGAGAATTGAAGTTGAAGGAAGAGGAAGTCATCTGATGAGTTTTCAGTCGGCGAGGATGTGCCGGTCGAACGTGGCTCGGCTCTTTGGTATTGTTTGTACCAGTGCTGATGATGTTTCTAACAGAGTCATGCGCCTCGAGCCTGCGATATTCAAACGAACCCTTATGGTCACAAGAGTTGCCTGGCAGTAAGTGAAGTGGGATAGTCGAGGAAGTGTATATTGAAATTACTTCACGTTTGTGGTTACAAAATGCGTATCGTATTGCAGATATATGCTCTCTGAAGTATTAGAGAGTATTGGGTCCATCATAACTGCTGACACCAACGCACGACTTGAGATGAGGGTTCGCAATGCGCCGATATTCGAGGTGGGAGAGGATGGGTCGAGGACCTCACAGTAGTCTACCGTGGCATGTCAGATCCCCAACGCCGATCTTTGCAAGGCGTCCATACCCTTGAGGAGCCTGCGTGTCACTTCTGAGTCGGCAAGAACGGTAGAAGTCCGTCAGGACCCTCCAGTTAGCGTCGATGAAGTTTTAAAGCTCAAGGTGGGCATTTCGAGGGTTCGTATGATATTGTATTCGGCCGATCGATCAGGTCTTGAGAGACGTTGAGGCCCTGGGGGGCTCGGGTGGAACTGAGGGTGAGACTACTGTTGATGTTCTGAGTGATACCAGATGGTTCGTCCAAGAACAGCTCAACGATGGTATCATTTGCTTGAGGTGAATATTAGTATTCTTGCTGCTGCCCGTTGTCTTTTTGCAATATTTTGCTGTCATTTTCTCCGATCGTTATTGCTCAGATTTCCGACCTTTGCAGACACGTATGCAGCCATGAAGAAATTGACCTCACCGGGTGTGGTCCTGCTAGGAGATAAAGTCCCTCAAGTTGAATTCTGTGCGAAGTCCTTAAGGTGAAGTTTCTGGTGATTCAGTGCGACCATACCGGACCTTCAGTTTCGTCTCGTCGCACGTCGAAGGTGTAGAGGTTGAGGACGAATCATCGGGTGGAATTTATGTTGACTTTCTTCTTCCGGAGAGAAGTGGTGAGTTCATGAAAATACAAAGTTTGCGAATTGATCGCTGTCGACGGTCATTCAGTGACTCGGCTCGATAAGGACTCGTGTGTTTGCATAGTGTTTTTGCTTTCAGCCAAGTATGTAGATGCGCACGACACGCCTCTTTCTATAGACGGTATCCCCAGCA